AATGACATAAATTAATTTATGGAAAAATTGCTAATTTGAATTAGTATATAAAATTTCAAATGTCATAGCTATATAAATTTACAGATTCTGTACAAAAAACAGATAAATGTCAACAGTAGGACACAACATGTAACAAAATTTACTAGTAATGGTTTGAAAAAGACAAAATCTGTAAATCGTTTGAAACGAATTTATAATTCTAGAATATTCACACATTATCATTATTTCATATGGAAAATCTATTTCAAACATTATTATTTTATGCATTATGTCTTTATAATTATGCTTCATTTTATAAGTAATTGGTAGTTTCATCGAGAAATCTTTTGACATGGATGGTTTATTATTTGCAATTTGGAATTTCAATTTGTTGGATTTTTCACATACGAAGGAACGCATATATTCCATATACTTAATATTTGCTGCAATGTTGTATTCTTATGCTATATTTTGATAATGCTATCTTTAATATACTCTTGTCTATATTTTACACTGGTGTAATGTTCACAATTCAGTATATTTCTCTGCCCTCTCCTTTCTAAATACACTTATATCCATCACAAATATTCTTATATATTTTTATTATAATATAAGCACATTATTTTATTATATCTCTGAAAACCATAAACTGTCATGGCAGACATGTCATCCATATTGGATTTTAACAGACGACAAACGTTTAGGGACAAAATGTCGTAAGTCAAGGAGCACCAATACACAGTTTTTTTAGATTATTATTTTCCTTTGGTTTAATCCACAGTTTTTAAACTACACAAATCATAAAGGTTGATATTCGGCTAACATGTGGCTCACGTCAGCAGAATGTCCGTTTAACCCCAATCCTCCACCACTCACAATAGGATGGTGTCCCGCCTGTAACATATTGTATCCTGACGTGGGGAGGGCAGAGGCTTTCTCTAAATTGGTATACACAGCACTAGGAGAGGAGGCATCAAGTTTCGTCTGTCCATGGATTGAATCTGGGCTCATTTCTTCTTTGATATTGCCGTCTGGTGGTGAATCGGGAAGTTTATTCATACCATTAGGGTCTCTTGAATCCCTGAAAATAAACCAAAGAAATTAAAATTGAAAAATAACTCTTTCCGTTAAATGATTATAGTTTTAGTCTGTAGTACTACAGTAACAAAAAAGTTGTACATTATTTCGGTCTAAATCAAATTTAGCAGATCTCTTTATTTGTGACCTTGGCCAGTGCTTTACATAGGAGTTTTTAGGAATTTCTTCACTCTTAATACAAATTTAGGTTGTATTCAACAGAAATGAATCGTCCTAATAATCGAGCAGATAGTCTTCAACTTCCACTTCGTCTAACTTGCGATCTCTACTTTGTTTGTTGATGTAAGGTCTTATTTGCAAGGATTTCCCAATAAAGAATAAACTAATTGCCTATATTCAAATCCTACTTAAGAAGTTAAGCAAACCTGTCAATTTATAAATCGCTCAAGTTTATTTATCTATCTGCACTAAACTCTCGTGTTATTAATAATATGAACAAAGGAAAACAGATAAGAGTCAGATCAAGAAAACCAACTACATCTTACTGATATATTTTTATCTTTATTGGTATAGAGTTCTAAATATAAATTCTTATTTTGATGCACAGGTGTGTTTCTACTGATTTGAAATTGGAATTGTTTCTTAGAAAATTCGATTGACAAATTGTATCTCACTACCTAAGCACTAAATTTGTTGCTAATTGCCATCAGGATATATAATGTCTGTTGCCCAACCCCTTTGTCGTTTTCGAAATTAAATGATATATTAAAGAAAAATTTGGCAGAATTGACAAAACGCAATTGCTTAAAGATGTTCAACGAAACTGTCTTACAAAGGAGATAAACAAATTTTATCAATCACGAGACATATTCCACGCAAACAAATGCAAAAATAGTAAAAGAGCGTGCGTAGAAAATGAGCATAAATTGGATTCAAAACGCTTTGTTTTTCTCACGTGACATTGAGCTGCAACTTTCAAAGAAAAACACAACAATGAAATTATGACATGCGAATAGAACTTTTTTACCTTCCAAAATGAAGAGTTCTAAAAATACAATCTATTAAAGTCTATATTGTATACCCCATCCATCATTTTTGATACAGAATCTCCGCAATAGATTAATGTGAATGATGGATTCTTTTATTATTTTCTTTCAAATTTGTTTCAAGTTCATGATTTATATGAAAGACTCGCTAGAACAGTTTGACATGGAACTATCAAATCCAAAGATACAGCAAGAGGTCATGTAACGTGAAAAGCTAATTCATAATTCAGAGAAAAGAAATAATTTTGGTCATCAAAAGTTCTATACATGATGGTAAAACAAAAATTCCTTTTAAATTTTAAGAAATATATATTTCATATATATTATCATCTTTGAACGATTAAAGTGGTCCAAGATTGGAAAAGGTTTCATGAAGAGATACCATCTCACAAAATTACAGGGGAAACGTCCCATACATTGTATATGTTTTATTAATCTGAATGAAAAAGTACCATTTTCCTTTTCCCTTAAATAACAATATTTAAAAATGTATCATTTTTATGCTATTGAATTATTACACGTGAGCTTAATACTGCTGCCAAGGTCGAACATATTCGATTTCTTAATGGAAAAGAATAAAATTTAAAAAGACGTCTTTTGGTTTGATGGATTGCTATATCATGTGATCAAAACAACTTGACATTACAAACTATAATCGAAATCAGAACTTAAGTATGGAATTTCTTTTAAAAATCGTTTGAGAAATCTTAATTCGTGAAATCGTTTTGCCTTGATATAAAAAGTCCAATTTACATTGCCTTTAATATTTGTAGTGAGTTCGTGATAGAGCAACATTGTCCCTGATTAGCTGAACGACAATTTGTTCAAACTGTTTGACCTATATTAGGTCGTTAATGGTCAGATCAGATAACTCGAATTTCAAATATCAGACTATTTCATATATAAGTTCAAAATCGCATCAATTAGAACATTCTTGGTGCATTATGTGTGATTTTCTCGCAAATTTGTGTTAATTTCTCCAAGTTTCAGAATAATACCACATCAATACATATACATGTACAAATTGTCTGATGAAAATATTTCTTTGGTCCCTTTTCAATATTTCTCAAGTTTGTACTGAATAAAGTTCCCTAATTCCGTGTATTTTGCCAATATTTCAAATACAGCATGGAATATTAGGTGACAACCATTCTGATATATTGCACAATTTAAATACTATCTAAAAATTATAACAAGATTTCAGATATTGGAATATGTCATTTAATTGAATTCAGAAAACCTAAATGTTCTTAAAACCCACATTACTTGACAAATTGGAAAGACACAAACTTTTAATTAAAACCACTTCACTGTAAGAATGTAAATATTTTCATATTGTCAGGTCATTGTTGACTTTCTCGCTGATCAACTTAAGGTGTTTGGATTGATTAAATCACCTCTTAATTAATTAACAATGTCTTAAACCTGGGCTTAATTAATCTTACTTAACGAGAGGATGTCGTATTACGTGAAACAGCCTCACAAATTAATTCCATTCGTAGTTTTAACCGTGATTTTACCAGCCCATTGACCTCCTGCTTAGCACGTCGGAAATTCCATTTGATTTATTTATATGATATTATCAAGAGTTCCAGGAACTATTATGTAATTAATAGGACACCAATTAATATATATGTTCCTGCAAATCTAATTAAATTATTAAATTCAAATTAAATTGGGTCTTAATTTATTAATTTAATATCAATTTGAATTTAGTAAACTTAATATGTTTTGTAATTTTTTGAAAAAATAAAAAATGACAAATTATGGGTTAAAACTAGTGCAAATTCAAAGAAAAGTACCGTCATATATCACAATGTAATAATACTAAAACTCTTAACTGATGCAGTGTAGCAATGAAAGTTATTGAAACATACAATTTTCTTCTGAAATAATGAGGTGTATTTCATGACAACTCGAAATTAGAAAAAAATGAAGGCATTACACTTATCTTTAAACAAAATGTAGCCATGTATGAAAAGAGAGAGAGAGAATGTAACAAATTTTATGAGCTCAAATCCTTTACATTGTAAATAGCTGGTTTCGCTTGAGAATTATCATTATAAAGCCATAAAAAATATGAACGGTATTCACAAATAGTATATTAAGAGCAGTTTATGGGAATTATGAGAACAGTAAAAATCTCTTGTTTTCTACCCAGTCCAAATCTTAAACACACGTGGCTGATTCTTAAAAGATTTTCTGGGGTATCAAATTTCAAAATATACGTGACCTAGTTTTCGTTTTTATTTTCTAGTAGACGAAATATCTTTGAAGGAATTATATAGCACACAGATAAGCTGGTATTTTAAAACCTTTGAATTTACGAGTGTAACATGGCATTAAAACCCTATCGTTATGGAAAATATTTTTTTTTGAAATTTCAAATGACTTTCGTGATTTAAATTTAATCATAATTCTTGGCCTAAAAAATTATTTAAATCTATAAATTGCTAGAAACAGAAATTCGATATCAAATTTCAATTAACTTTTTTCGTTTTAAAGAGTTTTTCTAGCTTTATTGATGTTCGTGTCGCATCTATGACTTCCTTCGACAAAAAATTAATTTCCACTCTAGAATACAAAGAGATAATATCGTGTGGAATAAATTGAAATGTAAACAAAAATAACAAATCTAAAGCGGATGCCATTTATTTCAGGATATGAAAATAGTAAAAAAAGTAAAGTTGAAAATGATTTGCAACATTGCACCCAACTTCTAAAGTACAAATATTAAAGTGGAACTGGCAGATCTAATAAAGATTCGGATGTGTTTTAAAAATCTTAACATATATATTTTATCTTATATTTTACTATGACAGAAGTGTAAAAAAAAACCCCCAAAATTATCAAATTCAGATCTATATTTTTAGTCAAGTTAACATATTTTTTTAGTGTGAAGAGAAATGACCCTTATCAACTTTAGTAGATGGATTGTTATGATTTCAATGGAGTTAGGAATGTTTCAAATTTTGAATATTTTAATAGCGATGTAACTAACCTGTCCTTTCCATCTGCAGCTCTGTCTCGTTGTCGCCTGTTTTTAAACCAGTTACTAACTTGTGTAGTTGTAAGCCCAGTAACCTCGGACAGTTCACGTTTTTCCCGTGGGGAAGGGTATGGATTGTGGGTGTACCACTCTCTTAAATGTGTCCTGGATTTCTCTCGGAAACAATAACTTGTCTCCTCACCATCCCAAATCGTTCTGGGTAGTGGAAATTTTCTTCGGATCCTGTATTTTCCCACGGCACCCAGGGGCCGTCCACGAAGTTTCTCTGCTTCAATGTAATGGGCTTTCAACCAAAGTGCCTGAAGTTTCGGATGATTATGAGGACTGAATTGGTTATTCTCCATAATTTTGTAAAGTTCCTTAAAATTACCTCTGTGAAAAGCGACAACACATTTTGCTTTCAGCACACTTTCATTTTTATGTAAGTGTTCACATGCCGGTAATGACCACAAGAACCGGGCCAATCTGTCTATGTTACCTCCTTGTTGTAAAACTTCACAAACACACGCTACTTGTTCCTGAGTAAATCCAAAGGAAGGCAGCATGGCCGCACTGGAACTTGGTGATCCAACACTTGTCTGGTCGTGCAACATTGTGACGTGATTTGGGAATGGTCTTACGGCACCAGTATCAGGTCGGAAAACTGTAATGACAAGAAAAAGATATATAGAATTACTAAACTCTTCAACTTTATTATTATTATTTCACGCGATCATATTGGCACTGTAGTCTGTGTACCTAATCGCTGATTGGCTGAATCAAACGACCCTGTGGATATATCGTTATTCACACAATGCTTGTGAAAATCTATTACTATAGCAACGACGTCAATCACTGAAACCTGATAGGGCAGGAGGCGGAATCTATTTGTATTCATCTCAATGGTGTCCCCCTTCTTCTTAAACAAGATTGATCATCACGTCGTATACGATCAATTACAAAAAAGAAAGGAAATTTAATTCAATGATTATCAGTAGAGATAAAGACAAGTCATATGGCGATTATAATAAAATGTATATGATTATTATTTAGTCAATTATTCGAGAATTTTTATTCTTACACCACAGGCCTACTCAATTCTCTTGTATTATTTTAAAAACCGTGAAATACTTTTTGTCATATTTTCAATACAAAAACACTGAAGCGATAAAATTATACACCAAAAATTTAGAAATATTAGTATTCATTCAAAGGGTTATTCTTTAATTTTCTTATGATAATTTTTTCCTTTTTACTTATGTGAGCTTCATTAAATCACAGCTTGTCTGTACATATTATTAAAATTTTCTTGGAAAAAATATATTATATGCATAAACAAAACACAGAAAAATGAGATCCTGTTATAATTCTTTTGTACTCTGCAAAAATCTCAAAATGCAAATCCTGTTAAATATTGCAAATCCACCTGAATTGACTGAAATACTAAACAAAACATTTTTGTGGATTTAAATAAGAAATTTGGGCAGATCCGGAAAGTTAGACAATTATTTACGAGTACAACATATCTAATATGCAATGAAATTCAAGTAGTAAATATTATGCTTTCGAACTCAAAATTCCCATGAGCTTCTCATTAAAACACAGGTGATGTTTTATGTGCAGGAAATGATGAGAGAAGGGGATGTTTTAAATTGATTGTCATTAAAAGGTGTAAATATAACAAACATATACGTACTTTGTCCCACTGACAATAAGTGGTTTCTTAAGTCAATATTATTATTAAGAACACATGATACAAATTAGTAGTGTCATAAAGGACCATTACAGATACCCAAAACACGGATCAAGTGGCCAACGACAACAAAAACGTTTACTCTTATATTGAAAGAGCGACGGCCCAATAGGTCGCCCTGCTGAGTTTTATAACCCAGTTTTGCATCATGAATCAGTCATAAGACCGTTATGCCCGGGGCCCAAGGTTTCGGGTTTCGCACAGAGATATATAACTGGCGTCGGCTTGTTTCAATATAGACTGGGTGTTCTTAAATGTATTATGCCAACGGGCAAAAACCATTTTCCTCAAATCTTTGCCAAATTCCAACAAGATCTTTCTTTGAAAATCCACTTAAAGAATGACTCTTTGGGTCAAGAGAGATAACCTAGGTACTCGATCAAAATCAATCAAAATTCAGCTAAGATTTAAACCAATTATATATTTGCTTCGTTTCATGATGTATTGCTTCTTTTCATGTTCATTTTTACTACTGCAACAAAATGGCGGCTTTTAAAAAGATGATTATAGGTTTCAAAACACAGTTACGACGACAGACGGCGACCTTAAAACGCTAACGGCAATTAAAAGGCATGAGAAAAAAAACATGAAGAGACGAGAGTACGGGAACACTATTTTAAAATATTTTGACAATATCAAATTCTACCTCCTATGGTTTTGTTTCGTACACGAATAGTTTTCAAAAACACCTTTACCACAGTAACGTAATAATTGAGTAGGGTTAAATTAAGGAGTTATTCACTGATATTGCTATACAGGTATTTTTTTATGAAATCTATTGCTACTCCTAATTTTAAGTCTCTTGTTCGATTGGTTTACAACAATCTTTAATTTTTCTAAAGACCGTATCCTCTTATATTATTTTTATGTACAGAAAATCAGCCGCAAATCTTCAAAATATCCATAGATTGGACAACAGTTGACCACACCCAAAATGGTGTTTTGCCCTTACATTTTTTAAACCAGAGCATACTATCTTCTTTGAATTCTTTGATATAGCTTAGTCGGTAGCGAGTTTGATTTCCCTCTGGTAGGCGATGAGGTGCTTTCGAACCTTCCTCAAGGTAAAACTAATTCTGATGCCACGGCATGTGCGAAAATTTCAATGTTAGACTATATCACCCATAGCCATTAAAATTTTATGAAACTTTGTTAAATCATAATTTGTAAAAATGAGAAGAGTAAATGGTTTATGTAATAACCCGACAAGTTACTGTAAGAGATGTTTGTAATTTATGATGGCATTATTTATCTATCACCTGCGAGAATTACAACACTTCTTATCCAAATAACACAGAGAAAGTGCCTCATAAAGCGTGCGTACACTTCACACCTAAGTACCTTTCTGTAAATATTGTCTGAACACCAACCAGTTCTCCTCCCATTTAACGCTGTGCTGGTGGGTTTGAGACAAGGAGAGTCTTTACACCCCTATTCTTTCATAAAGCCTGAACGTGTACAAGGGTAGTCCAACCACTTCGCTGTCTTGTACTTCATTGTCATCACTCTTTACTTTACATGTAGCTTTGTAAATGTTAGTGCATTAGCCGAGGCCCTTTTCTTCGGCTGGCAAACCTTCACCACAAATGATTTATTGTTCAAATTTATCCAAGTCAATATTTTGAAATTCCTTCTTAAGTGCTCGCTTGTCGATGTAATATAATAGAAATGTGACATAGTGTAACATCACACGTAAATGTCGTTTTCTAATTAACTTAAACTAGTTTTATAAAGCATCTAAACGATTGGGAAAGCATGATTCGGTTTCAAAATTGTTCCTTATAAAAACTGATTTTTATCATTTAGAAAGCACAATGTACAATATGATTTTTAACAACGGAACACATGATACAACTTGATTTAAAATGTTGATCACTTCAAAAAAAAACGTTCAGCCCATTTGACAAAAGTACATTCCACCGCCGGGACACAATATGAAGTATAAACTATACGATAGGATATGGATCTGGTTCTTAAACTTTACAACGAAACCTAGGTTGAATAAAGTGAAGGAAACTCAGGTAGAATGAATGGAAGGAAACTAAATAAATGTCAAAAAAATTAAAAGTCATAGCCGAAAAATTAAAAAGAAAGGCAAATTGACGAAACATGACAGAAAAACGACTGCTGTTTCCCTTGCACAGATTGAAACATCTTTGCTGATTTAGGAGTCAAGTGTTAAAAACAATACACATATTTTAACAATTAACACAGGTGTTAAAATAAACACATCATAAATAGACACATATACACAGTTAAAACACATAATCAAAACCCTTGATACTTTTATATATTTATTACACTTTTATGTCACGTTAGGTGTCAAATTTAGAAAGATAAGTCTGACTTCCGTGTATCCTGCGACATTGAAAAGTGTATGAGCCTGCAAACGAAAATGCCTACAATAAAGCATCAGCACTAATCATAGTCTTAAATCTACTTGACCAAATTCAAGAAAGGAGACATATATCGCAATTATTAAATAATATTTAAGCAAATTATAGGTCCTAATGTCGATGGAAACCAAATTCTAGTCTCAGTCTCAGACACTTATGCAAATAAGAAAATATAAAAAAATCAGTTCAGAGTGACACTATCCAAGAATCAGAAAAAGATACGAAATCAGTTCAAAGTAATGATGTCAAAGACATTAGTCAAATTATTCTAGCAGCAAATTAAACTAAAACTTAAACTGGCTGTAACAGACTTTTCCAGATAAGAAAAATGATGCCATCTTTGATTACTTTCGATTTGTATAAGTACTTAGATCAGTCAGATGACTGTCCAAGAATCTGGAAATCCTTAATTAGTTCAAATTAATGCTGTCCAGGACAGTTTACTAATTGCAAGAGCGTGTTCAGAGTCATAAGCAACCCCTTTTGTAAGTAAATCAATTACATACCGTCTGAGTACCAAGTTTTATTGAAGAGGAGCACGTCGACCTAGACCTACTTAATATTAATAGTATACTATTCGTGTAAGAAAGAAATAAACTCATCTTCTGTAATCTCCCGTGGCATCATTTCTCCTGACAACTTGTCATACTTGGCACAGAAAACGATGTTTTTTTTATGTAGATTACCAGTATTAATTGACACATATTCGTCTAGGCAGAATAGTTGATGATCTTACTGGTACGGTGTTAGATAATCAAGAAGACACCGACATATTACTGGTACATTGTTCGTTAATACCATATGGTGGAACTCGATCCATAGCTGGTAGAGGTAGGGTAACTTACAGGGTCGAAAGGGACACAAGAATAAATTGTAGGCATTTCAAATAAATATTTGATTTTGCGCTTGATAATTATAAAGGCTATAATGAGTGCTATATTGCTGAAAAATGTCCAAGGTACTACAAAAATATTCCAATAGAACAATACAGTGTCTACAAACATTTCCCGCTTCAGCATAACGAACAAAAAATGGAATCAGATATCAGTTTCTATTGTGGTGAATGGAAACAAATTATAGAGCGACGAAATGTCCTTAAGCGAACCCTTAGTGTTGACTGGTTATCATTCACGGTACGTCCATATACAAAAGTTTCATTACAGGGTACAATAACCTGGCTTAAAACATATTATATACCTTAAAGCCACGAAAACGTATCCAAATGCTTTATAAAATGGAATTTCTATATAATATAAGAATATTGTTATAATATAGTAAAATACAGTGTAAATTGTTGATAAAGGGAAGTCAAAGGTAATTGGCAACAGACGTATAAAGTTTGCCGGATGGTTCCGCGGCCTTTCAGTAAAATGTTAGAGAGAAATTGGTTTTCCCTTTTTATTGTTTTCACAGTTGT